TTCTTGCTGTAAATGGAACCATTGGATCTTAAGGTTAAAGTTTGGCCACGATTATGTAGTATAATTTACGTAAAAAGCTTATATACATAATTCCGAGGCTTTAATTTTTTACTTTAAATGGTCTAATTGGATGTATCGAAATATACAATTTACTACCTGATAGTTTCAAATTAATTATATCCGTAGTATTTGTAATACTATAATAACCCAATTTAGGAAGACAAAGATGTGGCAAACTAAAATTATTTGTTACTTGTGGCTTTTTCGCGCCCTTTGCTGTATGATTGTACCAAATTTAGTTAAGCGGGTTTGCTTATATCGATATATTCTAATTGTAAATTATATGTATTTTTGATCTCTTCTATTATATTGGTTAAATGTTTTGTTGTTGTATTAAAAGACGGTATGTGAAACTTTGTATACAAAATACTCGTTTTTACGAAACAACAAATTTGAATTCTAATTAAATTCTTTGTTTTTCACTATGCTCTTTTGGAATTAAAATTTAATAATCAATTCTCAAGAATGAATCCTGACGAAAAAGAAACAGAACAAACCTCTAAGAACAATTTGCCGCAAAATAATCCACAACAATTTGAATCTTCTGAAAAGGAACAAGTGTCCAATGATGTTGTTAATAGCGAAGAGCAAAAGAGCAGTAACGAAGAGCTTGTCATTAATAGACCTGTTACGGTAGATGATGTTCTTTCTGGCAAGATTACTCTTCCGAAGCCTGCTCCTAAGAATTATAATGATTGTAAGTTGTAGCCTTGTTTTTATATTTTTTTCTTATCGAGTTATTTGTTTTTCTGGTTAATTGTTATATGATGCTTTTAATAGTTACGGGTAATAAAAAAAAAAGTGAAAAACCGCATCTATCGACAACAGGTATGGTTTTATAAATTGTCGTAATATGGGAATCAGATTGAACTAATGCTTTCATACAACTATTTAGATTCTCAACAAGAGTTTCTAGTTCTCTCTGACACTGGTAAGAATTTTACGTTTTTTTGGAATTGATTCTTGATAA